TTGGTTTCTAACATATTTACCAGACGATGGAGGTTATAGCAAAAAGTGAACCTATATGTTTGACTGTGGGTATTAACGGAAATCCGATTATTAATTGTAGAGTAACTTCTGGTAATGTGGACCACCATTTTCTTTTTATACCCTTCACCACTTTGTGCATATGTTTGTAACAGGCAAAAGGAATCGAGATAGACCCATGGTTCCTTTTGAGAATATGCATAGAATCATTTTCTGAGTCGATTTATGCATGTCCGTCCGTCCGTCTGTTGATGTTAAATTGTAAACAAAGTACAGATCGCATTTATTATCCGATTTGGATGAAATTTGGCACAGCTCACTTATTTGGCCCAAGGACGAACCCTATTGAAATTGGGAAAAACCGGTTCAGATTTAGATATAGCTCCCATATATATTTTCGTCCGATTTAAGGTAAATGGTGTACCAAAGTCCCCACATATCTTTCGATTTACAAGAAATTTGGTATAGCCTACTGAATTAGGTCTAAACAGATGTATGCCAAGTTTCGTGAAAATCGGTTCAGATTTAGATATAGCTCTCATATATAGTTTCGGCCGATTTTTGGTAAATGGTGCACCAAAGTCCCTGAAAATGATTTGATTTGCACGAATTTTGGCATAGCGTATTGAATTAAGTCTAGAATGACTTGTGCCAAGTTTCGGTTCAGATTTAGATATAGCTCCCATATATAGTATAGCCCGATTTTAGGTAAATGGTGTACCAAAGTCCCTATATATCTTTCGATTTGCACGAAATTTGGTATAGCCTACTGAATTAGGTCTGGAATGATGTGATGGTTTTAAGCAAATTGTGCACTAAAGATCCATACCATAGTCCGATTGACACAACGTACTGTAGTTAATATCACATAATCTCAGGCAGGTTTGCTTGAAATCGGTTCAGATATAGATAACTTAATTTAGCTTCCACATATAATTTCGACTTATTTTTGTTAATTGTACACCAAATAATTAATGGGTGTCTGATTGAGATTAAATTATAAACAGTACAGCGACGTCTTTTCGGATATAGTCGGCCCAGTCCGACTTTACTACTTTCATTGCTGGTTTTGATATTGTGGGTGTAACAACGGTAAAAAATAAAAACAAATGGTTTTCACAACATAGTGGATTTGTTGCCTAAATATATTCCAGGTCAAACATTATATATATATTTGTCTATAAAAATGTTATTTATGTTACCTCCTCGCATATTAAATGCGCCCATGTTTCGAACTCGTCCTCATGAAAAGGTCCCACTTTTTTATAGTGGTCCACATTACCCGACATTGAATATTTTTATTTAAAAATAATTATCGGCTTCAAAAATGAATAAAAATTAAAAATCACCGATTGTAATTACAGCTAAACGTATATTTTTGTTAAAGAAAACAAGAAAACCACATAACTTCTTTATATTCGAGAAAAACAAAGTGTTCGACTATTTTGCAAAAACGTTCGACTATTGTGCAAAAAAATGCTCAAATCAAGGATACATTTTCTACTACTACATTTTCAACATTGCAATTATTTATTAAAAACCAAGTTTGATATTTGTTTTCACTAATTAGGAAAATATTTATCAAGGCGGGATTGTCATACTTCAAGCATTTTTTTAGATATGGGGGGTGGTCCACATTAGACGCATAGTCCACATTACCCGAAGTTACTCTAAAATCACCCAATTTGAATGACGAGATATTGTCTTCTACTTTATCTTTCCATTGGATTCGTGGCCTTCCTTTCTGCGTGAGACATCCCTTGGCACGCTTTTATATGCCTTTTGAGGTGGGGCATCTTCAATCATTCTCACATCATTCGTCGACGCAGATCGGCCCATATATCTTCTGGAGAATTTTTCTCTCAAACACTTCAAGAGCTGTCTCATCCGCTCGCGCAAGCACCCATGTTTCAGATCCATAGAAATCCGTCTAGAACCTTGAAAAAAATGAACAGAAATCGAAAATCGTTATTCTTTTACATTTACATTTCGGTTCAAAATGATAAATTACTGGCACTTCGTTTGGAACATATCAGTGAATGCGGAAAAGTATTGACAAAGTTCGTTTGAAAACGGCCGATGATGCAATAAATGAACTGATAATACAATATCGCCATGTGGCCGTAAGATACAGGTATTATTTGAAATTACTTTCACTAGCATACATTTGATATTGTCTGACCGGTAAAATGCTTGCTTTCATTGGTTACCGCACAACTTGGAAATCATACGTTCTTGTCGATTGGTGCAAAGAAAATTTAAAAAATGTCAGCAATGTAAACATGATTCATCACCAGTTATGAGCTTTTTAAGGTAATTTGGATCATCGCTGACAAATCCGTAAGAATTGCTTGGCATGAGCTGAACGAATATAAAAATATCATCAGCAATCTCTCCGATAATGATTCCATGATTATCGAAAATCATTTTCATAGCAAAACATCGATCATTTAGCACAACTCGACAATCAATAATCATTGCACTAAAAAAAATCAAACTGAGGCCCCGGCTAGGATATGAAGGTTTCCTGAGTAACACAAGAAATGTTGCCCATCTTCGATAAATTTTAATTTAATTCGCAGATGAAATTTAGCAACCATTTACGATATACCAACGTACGAACCTTGTAAAGCCACATAGCCCAATATGCCTCATGAGCCACTTAATCAGCGGCGAAACCCGTCGCATAATGGGGGTATATGGTTTCTTTTTATTGAAAAATTTCGATAATTTACCTCAACTCGAAAGAAAAAATTCAAATAAAATAATTTTGTTTAAAGCTTTAATGTTTTCATCGGCTATTAGAATGCTCGAAAGACCAGGACGATCATCGTCTTTGACATCTCATAAAAGATCTGTGGTACACTTTAAAATGCTGTCTTAAAAAAAACAAATTCTATAGTGATTTCGCAGATTGAAAGACTTATACTATGGAGATTCTGTAATCATTTCGGCCTGTTACAAAGGGCATTTTATTTTTTCATCATAAGACTCTGTCATTGGAAGGGAGGTTAAACATGTTTTCGTAGGATCTTCTAACGATTGCAAAATCTACTACCCACAAAAAATAGAACCTTTTGCCAAAATCAAATTAGATTCCAATTAGAAATGTTTGCCAATCAATCTGACTCTTCACATTCACATGCACACACACGCACCCAACAATAGTAACAACAACAAATATTTACATTTTCCGTTTTTTCGTTTATTAAATTTCATGGTAATGCTTTAATCAACTCAATACGACGACGACGATGATGATGGCAAAACAAAAACAAATGTGTTACGAGGTGTGTGGGGGTTCGTATGAATTTAACGAGATGAGATGAGGAGAGAAGAGAGTATGAGTGTGTGATGATGGGCAGGCCCTTTACGTTTGTTGTCTCATTATTATTCTTATGTACGTGTGATGAGTGTGTGAGTGCGTGTGTGATACAAAGAGCCATGATGGTAGGCATAACGTTTGTTTTTTTGTTCCTGCTGTTTGTTACTCACATTGATTGTGTCAACAGCATCCTCTCTTTCTCTCGGAAGCTTTGTGTGTGTTTTGTATCAAAGCAATACAGGAAAGGTAGATACTCTCACACACTCCCTCTCTGTGTGGAGAGTGGGGTGGTTACTGTTAATTGTGTGTGTGTGTGTGTTCTATTATAATGAACGTAGTGAGATGCCAGTCATGGGCTGACGCTGTTGTTGTTTTTTTGTTATTATTATTGTGGTGGCTCTACGTGTTTTCTTGTCTTTGATGTAATGAAATAATGTTAAATTTTTGTTAAATTTATTTATCGTAATTTTTCCTCTTCTTTTTTTCTTCCTTTTTCATGTGTCCAAATATGTATTGGTGTGTGTGTGATATGTAAAGACAGTAACTTCGTATTGTGTTCTTTTTCAATGAAATAATATAACAAAATGGACAACAATGGAGCGTGAAAAGGAAGCCTGATAGTTCGTCGGTTGGTTGGAACAACTAATACACATACCAACACTCAGACACACACACACGAATACACAAAGACACCAACAGACCATAGAGGCTAGGCATTCAGCCAGGCATAGATATGGAAAGGCATGCCAACCAACGCCAACAAATAAAGAAACAGCGTCAGGAAGGATGTAAACACACACACACATACATATAGCCGACATGAAGACATGCAGAGAATGTGCTAAAACATGAACAAGTTTCCTGTGAATATACTAACAACAACAACAAAACCAACAACGGGAGTTCTTAGCTGGTATAATAAAGAGCGAAAATGTGAGAACATTTTATTAAAAATAATCTAAAAAAAAATAACAACGGAAACTAAACAAGGAAATAGCAACAACAAAAAGAAGAAAACGAATACAAAAAGGAAACAATAATTGAAAATTACAAATAAAAGTTAATTTTGAAAATAAAAAAACAAAACAACAAAATTTTAATATTACACACATTCCCAGAAAATAAAAAAAGATAAGAAAATAAAAAAAAAATAATAATCATAAAAATTAAAATTATAAAAAAGTGTGTCGGGAAAAATAAAATACAATTCCAGTGATAAAGTGTACAACAACAACAACAGCAGCAGCTAAACATCTAAAGTGTCAGTCATCAACAACAACATTTCCCCTCTAAAAAAAAAAAAAATAAAAATTAGAACAAACAACAACTCTAACGTCAACAGCAATAGTAATAACATCAACTCTTGACGACAAGAAGTGCTCTTCCTTCTCTTTTAGTTTTTGAATCTAATTAGAACAACTTAAAAATAATATATCCTTACACACACACAGTCTCATATATTAAAACAGAATCTGAAACCCATACAAGCCAGAAATCTGAAAAAAGGAATAGAGCGTAAAAGAGTTGCTGAAAAAAAGGAATATCAACTATTTTGCATTACCATTAAATTCTGCTGCAGCTGATTTTTAAGAAGCCCTGAAACAAAATCTAAAGAAATCTAATTGAAAAGGTGAAAAGGATAGTGCGGAGCAGGAATACCACCACCACAACAAAAAAGCAACATAAAAACGTTTTAATGTATCCTTAGTACTTAATACAGGTGAGTCCTAATTTTTATTTTCTTATGGGTTTTCTATAGGAGTTTACTTTTTTTTATTTTGAATAAAAAGCCAAAGGTGGAGAAGTTTTAATACAGTGGTCGGCATATTAATAAATTTTGAGAAAACGTTTTTGGGTTAAAATCAATTAGTTGCTTTGAAATAAAAACATTCAAACGTCTTTAAGTTCTGAAAGGTGTTAAAAACATAAAATCAGGCTATGCCATTATAAATTGTTCATCAGGAGGTTTATTAACTACCGAGAAACTAAATAATAAATTAAAAACCAGTAAGGAAAGTAGTAAAGTCGGACTGGGCCGACTATATGATACCCTTCACCACTTTGGGTATATTCTACATATGTATCCTAACAGACGTCGCGTGTTTGTTATATATCTATATCTGAACAGATTTCAGGGAAACTTGCAGAGATTAATTTATATTACTTCAAATAAGTGTCCTATGCCAAATTTCATCCAAGTCGGATCAAAATGCGACCTGTACTTTGTTCACAAAAATATATGGACGGACGGACATGCGTAAATCGACTCAGAAAGTGTTTCTATGCATATTCTCAAAAGGAACCATGGGTCTATCTCGCTTATTTTTGCCTGTTACAAACATATGCACAAAGACATAATACCCTGTACCACTGTGTGGTGAAGGGTATAAATAATCGGTTAAGACCTATAGCATGTCGAATATATGGCGGGATTTTTATACGAGGTCTACTTCATGTATTTCTCTCCTAGGAAAAAACTATGCCGGGGACATCTGAGATTTTCATTGGAGGCAAGTTTTTGTATAATCGTACGTACTATCATGTGTTGTGCTCGGTTTACAGGGATTTGTGAAAAAAATAAAAAAAAAAATTGTTTGTGAACATTTTCTTCCGACATTTTGTCTCACCTAAAAAATTCACACTTTGGGACGCTTTTGAAAAGGTATTCCTTAAAAAATTTCAAGAGTTATATTTGGCGCCCAACGTGGGGCACTTAAATAGATAAACGAATATAATCCGACTGCTCGAAGAAATATTCCATAAAACCGCATCGTCTGTGATAATACATTTTGTAAAAAAATGTAAGAAATTACATATGGCGCCCAACGTGTGCACACAAAATAAATTAATGTAATGTTTCAAGAATTGTTTCATAAAAATCTAAGCCTGTGTTATGTGGGCCGTATTAAAGTAACGTTCCAAGAAATATTCAATGAAAATGTCAAAATTTATATATGGCCCCAAGGTAGGACATGAAAATTTATACATGGCCCCCAAGGTAGGACATAAAAAAATATGTAAATGAATATATGAATTCGGTTGTTGGAATATTTCATAAAAATCCAAGTTTGTATTAAGTGGGACATATTGAAAATGTAAAAATTATATATGGCGCCCAACGTGAGCACACAAAGTAAACTAAGGTAATGTTCGACGTAATACTTCGTACAAATTTGAAAGTTAGATAGTTTAGGAAGTAGTGAATATTTGGGGATATCATTATATGAGGGCTATACTTAATTAATGACCGGTATATGCCAATTTTGAACCCAATATTTTAATTGTTTATCTTAATTCTTTCCTTCAGGAGGTATCACTATATTGAGGTGATGCCTAAATGTCTGCCGATATATTTCATTATTATCATGTTTAGTTTTTTTTATCACAATATCTTTAGAAGGCGGAATGCTTACAAGAGATGGCTAAATAGTCTTTGTAGGGTAAAAATTGACTATTCCCCGTAACGACTACCCAACCGCAACAGATAACTATTTTAATATAAAAAAGGGGGTTATATGGGGACTACCCCTAAAAAGCGGTGAGTATTAATAATTTTTGGTGGGGAGATTTGTTACCATATTCGACTACAAAATACCAAATTTCAGCGAATTTGGTTGAAAAACGCGCTCAAGAACCTCAAAATATCGAAAATTTGGGGTACCCTTATATGGGGGCTACCCGAAAAAATTGACCAATATTTACAATTTTTTGTGAAGACAGAATAAAAACTCAAATTACTAAATTACAGCCAAATAGGTGAAAAAATCCGGTCAAAACCCCCCAAAAACTGGAAATTGGGAGGTACCCTTAATTGGGGGCTACCAGAAAAAGTGGACCTATATTTATAATTTTTAGAGGGGAAATTTGGTACCCAATAAGAACCCCATGTACCAAATTTCAGCGAATTCGGTTGAAAACCACGCTCAAGAACCCTAAAATACCGAAAATTGGGGGGTACCCTTATATGGGGGCTACCCGAAAAAATTGACCTATATTTATAATTTTTAGTACAAAGATTTGCTGCCCAATAAGAACTCAAAGTACCGAATTTCAGCCAATTCGGTGAAAAAGTCCGGTCAAAAACCCCCAAAAACTGGAAATAGGGAGGTACCCTTATATGAGGGCTACCAGAAAAAGTAGACCTATATATATATATATAATTTTTAGTGGGGACATTTGGTACCCAAAAAGAACCCAATGTACCACATTTCAGCGAATTCGGTTGAAAAACGCGCTCAAGAACCTCAAAATACTGAAAATTGGGGGTACCCTTATATGGGGGCTACCCGAAAAAATTGACCTATATTTATAATTTTTAGTACAAAGATTTGCTGCCCAATAAGAACTCAAACTACCGAATTTCAGTGAATTCAAAATACCGAAAATTGGGAGCTATGCCAAAACTTGGACCGATATAGCCCATCATCGAACTTGTCCTGCCTGCAGACAAAAGACGACTGTATGCAAAATTTTGGGGCTCTATCTCAATTCGTTTAGACGCTAGAGTGATTACAACAGACAGACGGACAGACGGACATGCTTAGATCGTCTTAGAATTTTACGCTGATCAAGAATATATATACTTTATAGGGTCGGAAATGATTATTTCGATACGTTACAAACGGAAAAACAAAACTAATATACCCTCCATACTATGGTGGAGGGTATAAAAATCGATGTCTGTGTTGCATGGGTCGTTTAAAAAATACTACTTTATAAGATGTCAGAATTTATATGTGGCGCCAAATGTGGGGCACATATAACATACTAATGAAAATAACTCGCTTGCTCGAAGACATATTCTATAAAAAATCGGCACCTGCATTAGGTGGGTCATTCCTTAAAAAAATTCAATGAATTATATGGCGCCCAATGTGGCGCATAAAATAAATTAACGTAATATTGAAAGAAATATTCCATTAAAAACTTAGACTGTGTTAGGTGGGCCATTCGAAATAATATTACAAAAAAAAAAAAAAAAAAAAAAACTAAAAATTATTTATGGCGCCCAACGTGAGGCTATTTTTATGAAAAATATTTTTCGTAAAAATAAATACCTGTTTTTACAAACGAGCCATCCTATGATTTGAAAAAAAGCCAGGAATTGTGTATGGCGCCCAACGTGAAATAAAATTAAAAAAAAAACAAAAACTATTTATGGCGCCCAATGTGAGCCTATTTTTATGAAAAACATTTTCCTTAAAAATAAATGCCTGTTTTTACAAACGAGCCATCCTACGATTTGAAATAAAAAGCCAGGAATTGTATATGGCGCCCAACGTGGTCATTCATGCCAAGAGTGTGTCGGTGAACATAAATCTTTGTTAACTGATAAATCAGTATCACCATGTGGCATACCTTGAAATATTATAGAAACACCCAACAGCATAAATTTCGATATCGAAAGAACGCATGACCATAAAAAGGAGGTTTGCTCACTTTGGATTGTGCACAATTTGACCGCCGCTCAACAACAAGTTCTTGTCGATTGTTGCAAAGATATTTGGACAAAAATGATAACAGGTTACGGATCATGGGTCTTTGCAGGGGATCTTCGAAGATTCTATTACAAAACTAGTAATTTGGCGAATATTTCGCTTAAGCACAGTAGGTCTTTCAATTTTGTGTGGTACACCACAATTTGTTTGCCTGAAGTTCTCGGAGAACTTAGAAAATTCAATGAGAGGTCAATTGATTTTTTTTTAATTAAAAAACAATATATGGTGCCCAATTATTTAATAGATAAATTAATGGGAACCGGTCATTTTAAAAAATTTCCCATAAAAATATGTGCCTGTTTTTTCGTTCGTAGGAAGTTAAAAGTTTAAAAATATATGAAAAAACATTATTAATGAATATCATACCGTATATCGAAAAAATGTTCCATAAAAATCCACACCTATTTTATATTTGAAGATCCACACCTATTTAATATTTGAAGATTCTATCTGAAATATTTCGATCTCTATCGCGATTTTAACTGAGCGTCGAATGTACTTGGCTAAATTTTCGCAGAACTTTAGATTCTGATTAAGAAAACTTATTCCTTGTGTGGCCTCCGACAAACCTCAACTTCTACCTTATGTTGGTCTATATATAAACATCTATGCCGACCACTGTTTATATGTGTATAGAAAACAAAATTTATGTTAATGCCTTCCTTTTGTTTACTTTGTTTGTAACGAAATAGAAAAAAACACACACACACAAGCCGGATAGGAAAATTGCTCATAAATAATGGGAACGTGTATCATCACATTTAGATATGTGGGGAGGAGGGGGGAGATTCTTTGTATGTCGATGAGAATGATGATGATATGCAATTACATGTCATTAAATATGACTGAAAGATTTCCATAAAAAAATTGTTTGTGAGGAGAGAAGTGAAGAGGGGAAGTGCTTGATAATAATCAAGAATATTAACGAATATAAGTGAATATATGTATTTTTTTTTGGGGAAAAATAAAAGAACATAATTATTAATATTAAGGATATATTATGTTGTTATTATTTTTTGTATGCGTATGAATAGATTGGTTTGAAAAGTGAGGTTTGGGAAAATAATATAATAGGTGAAGCATACAAGTAAGTCTTTAGAAATTTGAATTCGTGGAGGTTCTATTCTTTCTTTTGATTTTTTTTCATTATACCCAATTTATTTCGAATGGTACCACAATGCGTATGAGTGTTGACAGAATGTATACGCCACTAGTACCAAAT